ATGGTAAAAAAAGCCATGATTTCTATGTGCAGTATTCCCCTAGCGCTGGAGTTCTCCCGTTCTCCTTGATCGGTGAATTTGATCTTGGCTTGCTGGCTGTTTGCACTGATCTTCTGGGGGAAGGGCCTGTTGCCGGGGTTTCCAAACGTCTTTGCTGGAGGCGAAATTGCCCCGCCCTTGTCGGTCTGGGCTAAGCAAGCTGCTTGGGTTTGCTCTCAGGAGCTTTTGTTCCCTGCAAGCTCTCGGTACAGCTTTGGAGGACCAGGGTGAAAATGGTGGCCTCCCAATCTCTGCCCGGTGGAGCTGAGAACTCAGGGCCCTGCTCCTCAGTGCGCCCCCAGAGAAAAGCAGTCACTCCCATCTCCCCAGTCTCCGGCCGCAATCCGTGCTCACCTGGCCTGTGACCGAGCGTTTCTATCTCTGGCACCTGACCCTGTGTGGAGTCTCCAAACCCAGCAGATCCCTGCAGTGCGCTCCTGCGCCGCTCCTCCCGGGGTAGGAAGGGGAGTCTCCCTGTATCTGCCGCTTGTTGGGTCCCTGCTGGAGGCGCAGTGGCCTGACTGGGCCGCGGATCACAGTTTATGGCCACCCCGAGCTGAGAGCCCGCGCCTCGGCTCCGTCTCTGCAGCCGGCTTCCCCGCTCTGATACCTGGGAGCTCTGCTGCACTCAGGCACCCCCGGTCTTTCTGTGACCCTGAGGGTCCTGAGTCCACACTGTCCCGCGAGGTTTCCCCCTCCCGCTTAGCCACTGGAGTGACGTCCCTCAGCGGAACCGACTTCTAAAAGTTCCGATTTTATGCTCCGCGGCTCTAGCACTTGCCAGAAGCGGCCGACGGAGGCCCCTCCCCCGCCGTCTATCCTCCCGAATATCGCCTCGGATTCACTTCTCCGCACGTCCTACCTTCCAGTAAGTGGTCGCTTCTCTGTTCAGAGAGTTGTTGCTACTCTCTTCTTCGATCTCCTGTTGAGTTCGTAAGTATTCAGAATGGTTTGATCCGTATTCAGCTGAATTCCTGAGACCAGACTAAATCCAGGTCTCCTACTCCTCCGCCATCTTGCTCCGCCCCCCCCCCGGGGATATGAATTTTAAGACATGGTCCAGGACTTGTAGGAAGTCAAGTTAGAGATTGGTATGTATGTATGTATTTAGAGAGACAGAGAGAGGTAAAGTGAGCCCAGGAGGGGCAGAGGGAGACGGAAAATCCCAAGCAGGCCCCACGCTCAGCACAGAGCCCAACACGGGGCTTGATCTCAAGACCCTGACCCAAGAGTCAGATGTCTAAGTGAATGATCCACCCAGGCACCCCTACAATTTGCTATCTTTATTTTTTATTTTTTAAGATTTTTTATTTATTTATTTGACAGACAGATAGAAGCCCTAGTAGGCAGAGAGGCAGGCAGAGGGAGAAGCAGGCTCCCTGCTGAGCAGGGAGCCCGATGCAGCACTTGATCCTAGGACCCTGGGACCATGACCTGAGCCAAAGGCAGCCGCTTAACTGACTGAGCCACCCAGGCACCCCAATTTGCTATCTTTCAAAGTGGGTTAATAAAAGTTGGTTTGGAATGGTTTCCAGGTAATGGCAGGGTCTATTATCAATGGACACACCTGTCTGCAAAGGGCTGACTTCCCAATGACTCTAGCATCCATTCACTCATCCATGTTAAGTCAGCTGGAGACACATAAACACACCAAGCCATGGAGACACAGCTTTTACTCTCGTTCTTTGTTGTTGAGCAGTTTCTTTTTCTCTGTGGTTTCTTTTGCTTTGTTTTTCATGGAAGCACAGCAGGTACAACCATTTTAACTCCGTTCCTGGCTGAGATCTTCCTTTGTAAACATCCCTTAAAGTTAAGATGAAAACTACTTTTCCTTTTCTGACAATGAAAAAAGTGCAATTTGCTTTTTTCTGTTCTGCGTAAAACATCAAAACCACACAGCCAGGGCCTCTTAAATGCAAATACCCTCCTAATCCCCCCACTTATATTTCTGGATTCGTTGGGACTTCCCAACAATTCTTGTTTCTCGAAATCTTTCTTCTCTTCCTTTTCTTGACTGAGAAATTCTATCGTCTCATTCTTTGGAAATCAATGCAAAAACATTTGGATGCTTTTTTCACCACATGGGCTCTTTAGCTTTGGGGTATTGGGCATTTATTACCACTAGCAGAAATTGGCAACATCTGATTTTGCTAATCTACAGGCATAGAGAGAACTGGGAACTGGGTATGCATATCATTATGACCTGAGACACATATAACCATTCTTTGTACATACAGATTTTAGCAAGCACAACATATTTATAATTACATTGGAATTCTTTGGATTGAAGCAAAGATAGAGAGTCGGTTTGAAAAGCTACTTTTTTGCAGGGAGAGGCTAAAATAGTCTATTGCTTTGGGCCCTAGTTCTAGAAAGGAATGGAATTAAAAGGGAATAAGGAGGAAACATAAGTAATACATGTACATGTACATAGCAAGTGTTTTACCTGGCAAAGCCAACGCCTCTGCTGACTCCATTAGCATCTCTTAGTATTCTTGTGGAAATGACGTGTCCAAAGGGTTTCAGCATATTTTCAAGTTCCTGCTCATCCATAGAAATGGGGAGATTTGAGATGTATAGGTTTGTTGGGTCTTGCTCTTGTTGCTAAGGGAAGGAAAGAAACAAATGCATTAGGTTCTGAATATTGAAAAACCTACTGCACAAATGGATAGACTTTTGCTTGAACTGCAACATGGATTCCCAACTTCAACACACTCCTGAACATTCTTTTACTAAGGGCAATACTTCTTTTCAACGAATTCCCTTCTTGCTGAGTGTTTCTCATAGAAACAATGTCATAAATGAAAAGCAAGCTTTCTGCCCAGCCTCCTTAGGAAAGAAAAATAAACTTTTTTTTTTTAAGATTTTATTTATTTATTTGAGAGAGAGAGAGAGAGAGAAACAGCATGAGAGGGGAGAGGGTCAGAGGGAGAAGCAGGCTCCCCGCTGAGCCGGGAACCCGATGTGGGACTCGATCCCAGGACTCTGGGATCATGACCTGAGCCGAAGGCAGTCACTTAACCAACTGAGCCACCCAGGCGCCCAGAAAAATAAACTTTTATTGCGAGTGAACTAAAGAAACATGTGTATTCTTTTCCGTTACCACTAACTACTGCTTCTACTCTCACTGCTCCAATTACCATCACTACTAGTTACAAACGTTGCATTTAGTGAGCACTCATTACAGGGTTAAGCACTGTTCTACACAGTTAACATGCATTATTTTATTCAATATTCCTAATAAATAGAATTGTTATCATTTTACAGAAGACAAAACTGATCCCTAACTTGTCTAAGTTACAGTGTTCATAAGTATCAAAGCCAGGGCTCAACTCTGGGGCTATCACCAAAGTCTGTGGCATATCACATAAGTCCATAGGCTTCACTGTCCTGCTCTACTACCTTCCACTTGACAAAAAGGCTGGGGGTAGGATGGGAACCACATCGGCCTCAGCATCACTGTGGAATTTGCTAAAAATGTAAATTCTCAGGCCTTACCCCAGAACCACTGAATCAGAAACTTGAGGGTGAGAGAAGCAATCTGTGTTTTGACCAGCCCTCCAGGTGATTCTGATGACTAGGCAAGTTTGGGAATTGCTATCCTATACCATACATGTTGATGTTTGAGTGAGATTATGATGTCTATCATTTTCCAATCCAATAGCAATAGTGCTAAGTACATTTCCTTAATAGAATGGGAACCCAAACAATCACTAGCATTATCTCTATGTCCATGAATGTTCTCTCTTTCACACAATGAATTAGGGTTGGGACTTAGCTGTATATATTATCAAGATAAAACAGCCATAAACCTGACATATTAGCCATTAAGATCAAAATATATCATATATTTAACTGCACCTTTATATTTTAACCAAAACAACAACCTTAACTTCAAGGATAAGCAAGATTAGATTGGAAAAAGAAATTCTGGAATCTATAGGAAATGACATTATGGGACAGTGAAACATCTTTTGTAAAGATATCTCATATTCTGTAGAAAATCTGAGGTTTTAGGACAATGAAAAAAATACAAGCAAGATTCCAAATATTATTTCAAGACAAAAAACAATTTTGGTATGAAACTATTGTTTTTAACAGTTCTAAATATTCAGATTGGTCATAATATTTTTATTAAGCTTTGAGATTAATAAGATGTATTATTACGTTAAATTTTTTACAGTTTAGTTTAGTTTATCACCATGGAAAATGGTAAAAATAAACATAATCATTCAGAAAAAGACAACACAGCTTTAGTGTTTAGGAATAGTGTAAGTGTAGAAACTGTGCAACTGTAGTTAGTTTCTCTCCCCCTCTCTAACACACACACACACACACACACACACACACTGCTAAAAAAATGGCATGATCCTAGAGCAGAAACAGAGATAACGTTATCCATTATCCTTTCCTAAGTGGTCACGTTCATGTTTTTGTTTTTGTTCTATTTTTTTTGTTTGTTTGTTTTTTGCTGGGGTAATGGGAAGAAAAAAGGAAAAGAAAAAGTGGTGTTTCAGAGACATAATAAAATGAATCTTATATACATACAACTTAAAAAAATTTTATATATATTTTAGGGAGAGACAGAGAGAGCATGAGTGGGAGGGGCCATGGGAGAGGGAGAGAGAATTTGAGGCAGACTGAGCACGAGCTGGATGTGGGGCTCGATCTCATGCCACTAAGATCAGGACCTGAGCCAAAACCAAGAGTCAGACAAAATGCACTGTGCCACTGAGGAGCCCCTATATAACTATTATAATATTTTACTACCCATCATTTAATTTTAATCTTTATATCACTCCAAAGGTAGCTTGGCAAATATCAATATATTCATCGGATAATGAGGAAATGGAACCATGAAGATGTATCATCTTGCCCAAGGACAATCAGATAATTAGTGACAGGATTGGAATTAGATTTGGTAACCATGTTTCCTATCTTCTAGCTCAGTGTGCTTCTCACCAGCCCAATGTTTCCCAAGCTTCAATCACCTGCATATCACCTGAGAAATTTTTGCCAGCCACATACAACTTTTTATTTACTGAAGAGCTTTCTTTAAATCAACATACCTTTGTCCTTAAATAAGTTTATTTAAAAAGTAACCTTCTGTTGCTACCAAACTAAAAAGCTGGTATTACTTGGCATAAATAGGTTACTTACTGTAAGAACAGGAAACAACAAATCAGTGTTATTAAATTATAGCTAGGTACCGTTTGTTTGCAAAAGGCATTGACTCTCATGGTTGACTTTTTCTCAGTTACAAACGAGATTCATAATTAAGAGAGGTGTGAGAAGCTCACTAGCACCAGATGGAGGATTTTTTTTTCTTTCTTTTCTGGGAATAATCGGAATTGAGACAGAATTAGGAAAAGAATCATTTTCTTACAGTGAATTTCTGGATCCTACACACCTAGATCTACTTAAGTTTCATGAGAGATACATGTCCCATGGATTGGGAGTTCCTGCATTAACCCCAGACTTCTCAGAGAGGAGCGGCAACAGAAGGCAGTCCCCTGAATGGGTTGGAATTTGCCCAGCATTCTACACCCCTTTGTCCTCGATCAGGCTAACTAACCACAACAAGCCAACCCACTATCCCAGCAGCATACTGTACAGATCTTTTCATTTTCTCTGGGTAGTAATGAATTAGTTTATCCTGATTCAAATCCGTTTCCAAATTCTCCAATAGTAGAATTCATTGCAGCTTCTCAAAATGATGTGTGATCAACACACAGAGCTTAGTACATAAGGGAGTGCCCAGTAAGCTGTTTTCTGAATCCAAATTCAAACAACAAGGCCAACTCCTTAATCTGTATTCACAGACACATGATAGCACTGGATGGTGTGATTCCTTAATTTATATTCACAGAAAAAGTAAAGCACTGGGTAGTGTTATTTGTTAAGTAATTCCATCCTTTGAAATGTGGTATTAGTCTTGAATATATCTGTTGACTTGACATAGAATGAACTTTAAAAGAATACATACATTTTTTATACAATTATACATTCATATTTTTACTTTTAATGTTATCTATGTATCAGGTTTATGTAAATTGATGGCCACTTTCAAAAGGTGCTTTGGCACTATGAATCAAAGAGCACTTCCCTGTTAACTTTTCAGAAAAAAAGTCTCATGTGAGAATTGCAATCTAAAAGAACTTTAAAACTTTTTTAACTTAAATTTTCATGATGATTTAGCTCCAGAATGGACCTTAAGGGACATCTTCTTCAATCTGATCATTTAATAAATGGGGAAAAGGGCACCTGGGTGGCTCAGTTGATTAAGCGACTGCCTTCGGCTCAGGTCATGATCCCGGAGTCCCGGGATCAAGTCCCACATCAGGCTCCCTGCTCAGCAAAGGAGCCTGCTTCTCCCTCTGACCCTCCCCCCTCTCATGTGCTCTCTCTCTCTCTCTCTCTCAAATAAATAAATAAATAAATCTTAAAAAAAAATAAATGGGGGAGAAAAGAGGTTAAAGGAGTAGTTATGGCTTGCTCAAGTCCACAGGCTTGAAATAGAACTCATGTCCTTCTCACGTGGTCCGATGTCCTTACCAATTCATGACACTGCCTTTTCTCTTAAGAAACAATGAATAGCAGACAGCAGGTTGTAGTTCAAAGGAATGTTAGCACAGATGACAATAAATATCTCTGAATTCTTTGTTTTAGTCAGTTTTGCTTATTCATCAATTAGCTTTAGCTACCGAGCTAAGGCTATGAAAAAAGAAAAAAGAAAAAAAGAAGAAAGAAAAATTTCCTGGCCTTAGTCAGCATTTTACACACTCACTGAATGAATACTCTGCAATGCATACTCATTTGTAAAAGTATATGACTACAATTCATACATCACATTACATTGAATTGACCAGGTCACCGTAAGTAACTCCCCAATTTTGGTCTGTTTCTACATCTTTTTCTACAGGGATTTCTTGATCTATTATTTAGTTTTGTCACAAGATTGTGAAACAGTAAACTGTCCTCTCCATTATTAATGAAAGCAGAGACCTGTCATTTCACTCAAGAATATGTAAACAATTTTTTTTCTGAAATGACTTCCATTTTCTTAGATTTTTTTGTATATGCAAATTGCCAAAATAAGACTTATTGGCACCCATTTGCTTTTTGACAGTTTAACACAACTTCAGAGTTTCAGAGCATTTCAAGGTGGCTAAGCAAATGAATCCCAATGGAGGACAATAATGGTTGCCGGCACCTAAATCCAAGGTTACGTCTGTTGGGGAAGGTCACGTCTGTTGGGGAAGGTCACGGAGAAGAAAAGATGTGATCATTGGTTGATCCAATAGCTGCACCTGAGCAATTGGAGGCTCCTCACCTCCTCCCCTGTCCTTGGAATGTGGGCTCCCCTTGCTTTCCCCATTCCCAGAGGCTGCTGCAAGGACACAGCCTTGGGATAATGATGTGGTGATGAGACTGTCTGGATAGTATACATGACTGAACCCAGTTAAGACTTCTGTAGAAACCTTTAAGATTTGGCAATGAGATCTACTCATTTCACTGCTGCCTAAGACAAGCCTTATATATAAGTTCCTTTTATTCCTTAAACCTGTCACCTACCCTGGAGTGGCCGGCCTGTTTCTTCCATC